TCCTCAGAAACCTAACAAAAAGTGTCAGGAACTATACTGATTACTCTGAAGCAAGATGCCTTCTCCCTCTCCTCATCCTCTTCTCCCACCTTTTTGCCTCCTACAAGTTATCCATAAAATATGACTAACTAATATTGTACTTGCAAAGTGGCAGAGTTCCATATGGACTTAAAAATGTCTGATATAAATTACTCTGTTGTATTCAAATTAGTAGGCTAGAAACAAAAGCTAAATATTGCATTAATTTCCTGAAAAATAAAAATTGCAAATATACATTTTGTTAAAATGGGAGTACATTTTGCTTTTTACTAGATGAAAATACTATGATTTCTAGGCTTTAAGAGCACAAATGAACAAAACTGCCAATCTGTTAATCCAAAGAAATTTAAAAAGATTGCTATCAATAATGTATTTCCTGCTACAAGCTTAAAACAAAATGCAAAACTACTACTGCCAGAGGATTTCTCAAGTGCAGTGGCATAATCAAGGCTCACTGCAACCTTGACCTCTTGGGCTCAGGCAATACTCTTGAGACCTCTGCTTCCCAAGTAGCTGGGACTACAGATGTGTACCACCATGCCCAGCTAATACCAGTTTTTTAATTTTTTTTTTTGAGACAGGGGTCTTATTTTGTCACCCAGGCTGGAATGCGGTGGTGGGACCACAGCTCACTGCAGTGTCAACCACCTGGGCTCAAGTGATTCTTTCACCTCAAGTTCCCAAGTAGCTGGACCACAGCTGTGCACTACCACGCCCTACCAGTATTTTAATTATCTGTACAGATGAGGTCTCACCACATCACCCAGGCTGGTCTTGAAATCCTGGGTTCAAGTGATCCTCCCACAGTACTGGGATTACAGGTATGAGCCACTGCGCCTGGACTAGTTTTATAAATATTTATTTTTGAAAGATACAACTTGTTTGTCATGAAAAATTTAAATACTACACACTCACTAGAACGTGGATTCCTTCTTTTTCAACTGGAGCTTTATCATATGTAGCATCACAAACTCGAACCAAAGTCGTCACTCCATACTTCTTAAGTTCCTTTAAAAAAAAAAAAACAATTATAAGGGAACTTGTTTTTGAAAGCTTTAGAAATGTACTATAAGACTGGGCATGGTGGCCCACACCTGTAATCCCAGTCCTTTGGGAGGCCAAATCGAGACTCCGTCTCAAAAAAAAAATAAATTTCAACATGAGATTTGGAGGGGAAAAGAATAAAAAGAAATGTACTATTATAAATTGAAACAATGAGGTATCATTTTTAGACAAAGATCAGGATTGTTCTCACTGTGGTTATATATATAAAATGGACACTGATGAAATCTCAATGAGAACGTGAATAAGACTCACCTTTCTAAAGGACAATTTGGTAGCATAACATGAAAACTTACACAAAAAGTTCACATACACTGTGACCTAAAAATTCTACTTCTGAGAGTTTAGACAAAGGAAATAAAGACATATACAAAGATTAATGTGGTTTCTAATTTTTCACCAATTGGAATGGTGAAAAATTAGAAACCACATTAATGGTCTGGGCACTGTGGTTCATGCCTGTAATCCCTGCACTTTGGGAGGCCAAGGCAAGCGGATCATGAGGTCAGGAGTTTGAGACCAGCCTAGGCAATACGGTGAAACCTTGTCTCTACTAAAAAACACAAAAAATTAGCCAGGCGTGGTGGCAGGCGCCTATAATTCCCTGCTATTTGGGAGGCTGAGGCAGGAGAATCACTTGAACCTGGAAGGCAGAGGTTACAGTGAGCCGAAACTGCGCCACTGCACTCCATCCTGGGTAAATGTGAGACTCCGTCTCCAAAAAAGAAAAAAGAAACCACATTAATGGTCCAAAAATAAGAAACGATTAAAGAAGTATGGCACATCCATATAGTGAACACTATGACAGCTATAAAAACACCAACAAGGAGGATGGGAAAAGATTTTTTAAAAACATATAGTGGCCGGGGGTGGTGGCTCAAGCCTGTAATCCCAGAACTCTGGGAGGCCGAGGTGGGTGGATCACCTAAGGTCAGGAGTTCAAGACCAGCCTGATCAACATGGTGAAACCCCATCTCTACCAAAAAAAATTTTTTTTAATGCAGCTACACTGCAGAGTAAAATAAAAGAAAAAAATATATATAGTGTGGGTTGGGCGTGGTGGCTCACGCCTATGATTCCAGAACTTTGGGAGGCCAAGGTGGGCAGATCACAAGGCCAGGAGTTCCAGACCAGCCTGAAACTCCATCTCTACCAAAAATACAAAATTTCGTGGGTGTGGTGGTGTGCATCTGTAATCCAAGCTACTCAGGAGGCTGAGGCAGGAGAATCGCTTGAACCTGGGAGGTGGAAGCTGCAGTGAGCCAAGATCATGCCCACTGTACTCCAGCCTGGGTGAAACAGCAAGACTCCGTCTCAAAAAAATAAAATAAATGAATAAATATATAAACATATATATATACACACATAGTGTGTGTGTGATCCTATCTGTATGTGTATCTATGAATACACACAGATATATGCAGAGAAAAACATCTAGAAGCCAGTTGTTAACAATTAAATGTTGTTAAATTCTTTTTGCTTATCTGTATCTTTTGATTTTTAGGAAATAAACACTGTTTTTTTTTAAATAAATAAAATTCTGAAATTAAGAGAAAAAATGGTATATTAAAAAGACAGCTAGGCCGGGAGTGGTGGCTCATGCCTGTAATCCGAGCACTTTGGAAGGCCAAGGCAGCTGGATCACCTGAGGTCAGGAGTTCGAGACCAGCTGGGCCGAAATGGTAAAACCTCGTCTCTACTAAAAGTACAAAAAGTAGCTGGGTATGGTGGTGGCGGCCTGTACTCCCAGCTACTCAGAAGGCTAAGGCAGGTGAATCACTTGAACCTGGGAGGTGGAGGTGGCAGTGAGCTGAGACTGCACTACTGCACTCCAACCTGAGCAACAGAGACTCCATGTCAAAAAAAAAAAAACAAAAAACAACTCTCCCTACAATGAATGAATGCCTAACCCATTGACTACCTATCTCCAAGGGGCTACCAACATCGTGTGTGTGTGTGTGTGTGTGTGTGTGTGTGTGTGTGTGTGTGTGTTAGTTTATCGGCGAAGACACAAGGCCAAGCTTTCCCCCAACCCCCAGCCCCCCAAAAACAGGACCCAACAAGAACAGAGGAATGAGAAGCATTCTTAGCACAACATTTCCCTCACCCTCCTCCCCATTTCTACCAACATCTTTTTTATAATTGCAGGAGAACAGTGGCCTATGCCACTCTTGGAGTCTATGGCCAAGGAATCCACAGGCTGAAAATAGTACCATCTAAGTCAGCCAGGCTTAAAGGTACCCGAACAATCTGAGGGCATACAGGCCTAGAATCAACTTGTACACTGTGTACACAAAGTTAAGAAGCTCCGGGAATTTTAAGTATAAATGAGCAGGCACAGTGATATCCTTAGGGTCCATCGCTGAGTTATCTAAAGTGTAAAATTATTTTAATTGCTAACGAACTTTTTTACAAAAAGGCCTTCTTACAATACAGACTCAAGAAAGGTGGAGGTATTAAGTCAGGAATTTATTTAATGTTTCAAAACGCAAATAAAATTCCACTAAAATGAACTCTATAGTAGCCATTCATGGAAAAGTTGAGATAGAATTTTTTTATGGTATTTGTGACTTTAAACAAGTCGAAACCTCTTTTAGTCTCGGTTTTGCCATCTATAAAATGAGAATCACAAGGAGTTCATCCAGCTTTCTAATAAGCCTACTCTATAAATATAGCAAGAGAAATCATTTAAACTCAACAACCAGGAAAGGGTGAAAAGTTTATGTTCAAATGTTTGCTCCAAGAAGTACGAAGAGTTTTTCTCCTACCAATAGAAAAAAATATTAAAGATCCAACATAAAAATACTACCTCTACCACCTTTCCTTCCCCCAAGTTTCTGGACCCTTGTGATTGTTACAACTAGTTTGGGGGTGACTTTTCATCAAAAGTGGTTAGAATATTCGAAGTACATACAGCATGGTTTTTAGTGTCAGACACTTAGACAAGTATAGTAGTTCTAACACATATTATGTGCCATTAGGCAAATTACTAAATGACTCTGAACTTGTTTCCTTACTTGTAAAAGGGAAATACTAATGGTACCTACACCTCATAGGGTTTTTTTATTTGTGACCCTAAGTATAAACACTGCTTGTTGCATAATGTATAACACTGTTTATTATAATGCTACGTGCATACTATGTTCAATAAATGTTAATTATTTTTATTACTGAATGTTTGACTAAAAAAAAAACCTGTTAATAAATGTAAAAAGGACACAGAAAAAACAGTACTAGATATCTCTACAGTCCCCAAATTCCATAAATGTTCTTGAAAAAAATCTGCTGTCACTAACCCAACCCAATTGAAACCAGAATTGGCAGGATGACCATCCATACTCCAGATACAGAAGTAAATTGCTTTGTGCTGAGAGATTTTTTTAATGGGATTTTACCTAGAAATCAATCCAAAATATAGACCACGCTACAATCTTACCTCTGTGAACTTGTTGAGAGTAGCATTGGTAGGGTTGTGAGTTATCAGAAAACGCATGTTCTCATAGGAGATCTCCACAGGGGCTGGACGGTTCATTATGGCAAATAAAAAGTGTGAGCGTGCGTGTGAGTGTGATGGGGAAAGTGGAAAAAAAAAAATCAATAAATCTTGAAATGTTTCACAGCAGAAAACATTAAAAAGACCACTAAAATGCCTATTATCAATCACTGTTTTCTCTATTCAACTTGTTTATTCCTTATGAAGCTTCTCTCTTCAAGATAAGCAAAAGTATTTAGAATCCACTTGAATCCAAATTCAACTTGGGCCTCAATTTCTGCAGATGGATACCTTCGGACTCCAAAAAACCCAACTACATACAAAACTTAAGCAGCCTTTACTACATTTAGGCACTAGTGAGACAAGTTAAAAGTGTAGGTCACTTTCCACTTTTGTTTACTTGATGCTTAATTTTACTGGAGTCATTAAAAGAAATATGCTTGCAATTTAAAAAAAAAAAAAAAGCCAACTATTTCTGAGGCCAGTCTCGGTGTCCAGGAGTCTTCAAGGCAATGTTAATTATGGCACATAGAACCTCCAAGCTCACTTGTCAGCGAAAACGCTGTGCTGAGCCTGGCAGAAATCTGCCCTCACACTCAGAATCGCCATAAATGTGCAACGTATATTCCAACGAAAAACCTGGAGAAGAAAAGAATAAATAAAATGAACTGGAGGCTGATAGCATTATAAACACAAATGCCTGAAGTCAAAATACATTCTTTATAAGCCCAAAGCCAAGTGAAATGTCACCAATTATAAGTTATTGCCATCTATGAAGAACTGAATAAAGCAGTATTATCAAGAGTTTTAAAAATCAGAGATTCAAAGGTATGTCATTTTTTTCCAAATTTTTCAGAAAATTTCAAAAGTTTGAAAACAGTAGCAGATACTGTTCATGTGCTAACAATGAAGTTTAATGTGCTAATAAGATTACTTTTATTTTATTTAAAAAATATATAAAATTATTTTCTTTAAAAAAAGATTACTTTTTTTTTGAGACGGAGTTTCACTCGTTACCCAGACTAGAGTGCAATGGCACGATCTCGGCTCACCGCAATCCGCCTCCTGGGTTCAAGCAATTCTCCTGCCGCAGCCTCCTGAGTAGCTGGGACTACAGGCATGCACCACCATGCCCAGCTAATTTTTGTATTTTTAGTAGAGACGGGGTTTCACCTTGTTGACCAGGATGGTCTCGATCTCTTGACCTCATGATCCACCCGCCTCAGCCTCCCAAATTGCTGGGATTATAGGCGTGAGCCACTGCGCCCGGCCAAAACAAGATTACTTTTAACTCGAATAATTTTTAAATAATTAAAAGATACTTGAAGAAAACTTCCCTCCATGAACTTTTTTTTTTTTTGGAGACAGAGTCTCACTCTGTTACCCAGGCTGAGGTGCAATGGAGAAATCTCAACTCACTGCAACCTCCGCCCCCTAGGTTCAAGCAATTCTCCTGCCTCGGCCTCCCAAAGTACTGAGATTACAGGCATAAACTATGGCGCCTAGCCCAAAAACTCTTTTCATAGTTTACGAAGATCTTATTTTTCTGCTTTGATGGTTAAGTCCTTCACATATACTCTTTGATTAAAATAAGGTATACCTGGCCGGGCTCGGTGGTTCACACCTGTAATCCCAGCACTTTGGGAGGCCGAGGAGGGCAGATCACCTGAGGTCAGGAGTTCAAGACCAGCCTGGCCAACATGGTGAAATTCCGTCTCTACTAAAAATACAAAAATCAATTAGCTGGGCATGGTGGCGCATGCCTGCAATCCCAGCTACTTGGGAGGTTGAGGCAGGAGAATAGATTGAACCAGGGAGTCAGAGGTTGCAGTGAGCCAAGATCACGACACTGCACTCCAGCCTGGCAACAGAGCAAACCTCCATCTCAAAAAAAAAATAGCCGGGCATGGTGGTGGGCACCTGTAATTCCAACTACTTGGGAGGTAGAGACAGGAGAATTGCTTGAACCTGGGAGGCGGAGGTTGCAGTGAACTGAGACTGCACCATTGCACTCCAGTCTGGTCAACAAGAACAAAACTCCGTTACACACACACACACAAAAATACAAACACACACACACCCCTGTAAATGGGTAGAGGATATTAACCAAAATTCCACTTTGAGGATTTTGTTCTTTTCTATCTGAAGTATATGTGTTGGCCCTTAATTATAAGACTAGCTCAAAAGGCACTCTAAAAAAATTATTTCCTGGCCGGATGCGGTGGCTCACGCCTGTAATCTCAGCACTTTGGGAGGCCGAGGCGGGTGGATCACGAGGTCAAGAGATCGAGACCATCCTGGTCAACATGGTGAAACCCCATCACTACTAAAAACACAAAAAATTAGCTGGGCATGGTGGCGCGTGCCTGTAATCCCAGCTACTCAGGAGGCTGAGGCAGGAGAATTGCCTGAACCCAGGAGGCAGAGGTTGTGGTGAGCCGAGATCGTGCCATTGCACTCCAGCCTGGGTAACAAGGACGAAACTCCGTCTCAAAAAAAAAAAAAAAAAAATTATTTCCTGTGAACCAACTCTATACTGATAGTACTTTCCTGTATGATACTGTAATGTTTCACACAATGCAGTGGACGTAACCAACTTGTTACATAAATAAAGAATTGACTTTTTTTAAAATTACTTCCTTTTCCTCACAACTCTGAGTTGTTGTTACTACATACAAGGAATGAGGAAAGAGGATCAAAGAAATGAAGTGACTTGCCTAACATCACACAATGGTAAGTTTTAACTGAGCCCAAATTCAAACCAAGTCTTCTGTTAGTCCTATTTTTTTTCAGTGTACCACAATGACTGCTGATTCAACTAATGTATAAATCTCATCCTCTCCTTTCTAGTTGTTTACCTTTTTATTATTTCTTACATAATAATTGCCTCAAGAATACAAAATTATTTGAAGGTCACTGATTCACACAGACTTCTCCCCAAACATTAATTCCTACCAAAAAACAAGAGGTGGCAGAATTTTCATTATCATTTTAGGCCTGCTGCTTTGAAACACAGTACTCTTTACAGTTGGCTTAGTCAGTGAACGTCAACATAATCATAAATTCCTCTGGAAACAGGGACAAAGCTTAAGTTATTTTCCTTAAATTGCTAATAAAGGCTTCTTTAGAAGTCTCTAAAAAAAATAGCTGTGATCAGACAGAAAAAGGTATGAAAGATAATGACTACAGAACCATTTTCAGGAAGAAACTGAAATATATAGGTAAGTAGGTAGGCCTACAAAGTTCCAAAACTATCCATCTATCCTCAAGCCTTTTTTTATGATACTCTAATGGCATTTTATTTTCTAAATTGCACACTTGTGATTATATAACCATGGACACAAACATAAAATTAAAATATAGAAGACAAATGAAATTCAAAATGGCATTCTAAGAACTTCAATAATACCGTAGCAGAATGAGTTACTCACTACAGTAAAAACACAAAATATCTACACTCAAAACTAAAAACAAAAATATACTCCATCACTCTTCCTACCTCAAAATTCTACCAGTAACCCCAAAACATAGCCACCTTAGATTATAGAGGAAAGCATTTCATAAAGTACTCCTTGCCCAGTCAAATTTCAGAACCAACAGAAACATCCACTACTCGGACCTTTTAAAAAATAAAAAAGTTTGGGGTTCAAAGGTTAACGTGACTTAAGTAAGATCACAATGCTAGTTAGTAGCAGCTTAAGAACAAAAACCCAGGTGTCTTTATATAATTTATTTATTTTGAGACAGGTTCTCTCTCACCCAGGCTGAGTACAGTGGCACGATCATGGCTCACTGCAGCCTCAACTTCCTGGCTCAAGCAATCCTCCCACCTCAGCCTCCTGAGGAGCTGGGACTACAGGTGCATACCACCAGGCTGATCTCGAATTCCTGGATGTAAACCAATCTCCTGCCTCAGCCTCCCAAAGTGTTGGGCTTACAGGTGTGAGGCACCGTGCCCAGCCCACATATTTTGTATCTTCTTCCCCCGCCGCCCCGCTAAGACAGAGTCTCACTCTGTTGCCCAGGCTGGAGTGCAGTGGCACAATTTCGGCTCACTGCAACCTCCATCTCCCCGGTTCAAGTGATTCTCCTGCCTCAACCTCCCAAGTAGCTGGGATTACAGGCACATGCTACCATGCCCAGCTAATTTTTGTACTTTTAGTAGAGACAGGGTTTCACCATGTTGCCCAGGCTGGTCTCAAAGTCCTGACCTCGTGATCTGCCCACCTCAGCCTCCCAAAGTGTGGGGATTACAGGCGTAAGCAACCACACCCAGCCTCTTCTTACTTTTATTTTCTGAGATAGGGTCTTTCTCTATTACCCAGGCTAAAATGTAGTGGTGCTATCATAGCTCACAGCAACCTCAAACTTCAGGGCACAAGTGATCCTCCTGCCTCAGCCTCTTGAGTAGCTAGGACCATGGGTACATGCCACTGTGCCCGGCTAATATTTTTCTAAGTTATTTGTAGAGATGGGGGCCTTGCTATGTTGCCCAGGCTGGTCTCAAACTCCTGGGCTCAAGTGATCTTCCAGCCTTGGCCTCCTAAAGCACTGGGATTACAGGCCTCCTGAGCCACTGAGTCTAGCCCCACATATATTTCAAGTCACAATCTTCCATACAAGTGTCAAATATCTGCTTGGATGTTCATCTCCAACTCTGTGACCTTAAAATAAGGTGGGGGAGCGGGTGGAGTTTATTAAAGTAACTACTCAAAGAATAATAGTTTGCATGCAATGCAGAGCAAAACACAAGGAAATTCTAACCTATTTGAATCCCTTTGGTTCAATAACATTTATCACAGCAAATGTGTGTCAGCTGAGTAAAGGCACTGAAAGACCTGCATTGTAGTGAAAGCCAGGTTTAAACCTTACAGCTCCAGCATTAAGTTTTCTACCTAGTCTCCAGTGTTTGTCTGCTCAGCAAACAGCTATCCCATCTTACTCCCACAACCTCATTTTGGAAAGACCATTTCTAGGAATAAAGATAATTCATTATTACATTTTCAATTCTTAATACTGAGAACCCAGCAAAATAACTTCTGCCAAAAGAAACAGTACCTTCTAGCACTGTTAACAGATACATGATAAAAACAAGCTCTGTTCCCTCCCCCTCCATCAAGAATTCAACTACACATCAACAGTTACATTTTGCACCTGTCAATTCAGTTAAACTAATGTTAATTCCTGTGACACACTTAAGAATGCAAAGCAAACAGCACGTAAAAAAATCATAAACCTATCACAGCTGGAAAGCACTCAAAAGCTCCAGAACCCTATATATTTTAACATAAATTCAGGGCATGTACACTATACAAAAAAATTCTCCTGAAGCTGTCTCTCTGGCATTAATTCTGCTCTATCTACTTAAGTAAACATTGATTATTGTTTTAACTTACCAAGTGATGAAAGAGGCTAGTTTACTATAACAGTGGTAAATTCAAATATACACCCAAATATTGTCTCTGTCATTTAATTTTATCTTCCATAAAACCTAACTTTTAGCCGGGTACAGTGGCTCACACCTGTAATCCCAGCACTTTGGGAGGCCAAGGCGAGTGGATCACGAGGTCAAGAGATGGAGACCATCCTGGTCAACATGGTGAAACCCTGTCTCTACTAAAAATACAAAAAATTAGCTG